TATATATAAACAAATTTAAACACGTTAAAATGTCGAAATGTTAGCATTGTATAATGGTTGCTAAAACAAATTTCAATTATGTTTTTGTGGAAAATGAAAACGTTTGAATATCTTTTAGCAATGCTATTTATTCCGTATTAAAGCAGAGGTTGGACCAGGGTCAAGTAATCTAAGCGTAGGATAGAAGAGGAATTGAATACCTTATACTAACACATTTATGCATAGTTTAGCGTAATTTTTTTCTTCTATATCCCGTATAAAGAAAAAAATACACAAGGTAGACACTGCAAGGTAGAGTGTGGATATTTTGACAGAAAACACACAGATTTGTAGGGCCCTGATTAAGTTGCTTTTCATTTTTCGTATACGTAACAGATTACATTGTCATGCACATATTATAGTCAAAATCCGCGTTATGGAGTATACTGTTGCTGAAAACGTCTTTTTTTCACGAAACGTCTGTGTGTGTGTCCGACATTGTGCTACACTAGCACCTAAATCGTAAGGAACATTAGTTTTCAGAAAAAATATATTCCCCATTCAATTTGGCTGATGACAGAGTTCCACAAGAAATTCCAGGTAGTAAATTTGTATCAATAAATTAGTATACAAGATGGACGAAAAGAACCAGTAGATACAGTCTATTAAACATTCAGCATTCATAACTAATAGTCCTATATTTTTTTCATTCTTATTTTTGTGTTTCATCAAAATAAATTTTGATATCTACAGATAATTCATGTTATTAATTAGGGAAAATTAAAATTTTTGGACATAAATTTGGCAAATTTACTTATTCTGGACTCTGAATTTGGAAGAATTGTAAACTTATATTAACATAGCAGTAGTTAACATATTGTAAACAGAACCAAAAGTTGAATCGAGTCAACAGTGCTCAACAGAGTAACATTGTAAACAGAGTACACAGTGTTGACTCTGTTTACAATATTTGCAACAAGTTAATATAAGTATAAGTTTTTAATCAGAAGGGAAATCTTAAGGGGGAGTCTCTTTCTGTCACTGGTCATCTGGTATAAGGACTCATTCCTTTTTAGAATTCTTATTTGCATCCAGTCTTTTATATCACAGCAAATGTGTAGTCATTATCAACTAAGTGTCAGGTTTGGATATATCTACTCTGAAACACGAGACTGTGCTTATTTGCAATTTTACTATTTGTATTTATATGCCACAACGCCAAATTCAAAGAAGAAATTTTTTGTCATATGGCAAGACATTGACGTTTCCTTTTTTTAATAATGTCGAAATCTCTTCCATAAGGCAAATAGCTGAACCCTAGAATCAAAAAATTAAGTTCAATGGAACCATAGGTGCTCTTGCCAACCAAATATACAAGTGCTGTCAACATCATGCAGTTTATGTCAATAGAAATATGAAGCTATTTCGTTATCCCTGGGAGGAATTCCTAACGATTACTGTGAACTGAACCGCGCGAGATGCTTCGGCTACCTATACATTTCTCAGTGGCGCAACTAATGGAGCTATACAGTGCAGCACGTAGCGAGTGTTTTCTGAACTACAGCATTTGCGACGCATACCTATAACCTTTACCTTTGCATGGACACTCGAACGTACATCAATTTCCATGCCATCATTTCGTGGCTCTTACATCCTTTCCCGTGTCTATCCTTCAAGTAATGTTACCGTATCTTCTTTGTTCTTTTTAGAGCTATCAGGAAGCTCCATAAGATGTGATGATTTTTACCTATTAAAATTTAGAATTTGTTCTGAAAACCTCAGATGTCACTTGTTTTGTAATGTCATGCCTTGTCTCATAATACTAGTTATATTGGGCATGGTGGTCAGCCCTGCTGCGACCCGTACTCACAATAGCACACACGTTTCTTCGAAATAATAAAAGATAACAATTATCTATTTCTGCACATGGTCTCTGATTTGTTTGAATGTGTAAAGAACATCCTCCAAGGGAAGAAAGACCAAGCTAGTAAAGCTTTGTAGTAAAAGTCTAAAGCTCGTGTTGCGAATCTTTCATCTCGTATTTACTGGATTAATCATTCAGTAGAGACAGACATACTTGTAAGCATTTGAAGGCCTTTGACTTGGATGTCCCTATAATTTGATTAATATTTCTAAAACTTAGAAAATTGTAGATGATGAGTAAAGTTATGAAAACTGCATTAGGAACAAAACAGGAAAAATTAATTTGACTAAGATTGGAAATCATGAAGAAAGTGTTAGGTAAAGTGTACGGAAATCGGTCATCACACAAGTTTTCCTAAAGAGACTTGCCTATCTCACTGACATTCGGACACGACATGACGACGACCAAGGCATTCGCGTAGGCCGCAAATGTGATCGTTTCCTAAGAGAAATGTATCCTAGACAGGGCAACTTGACACTAAGGCACCGACCACTGACCATGGGACAAGTTCAGCAACAATCTCATTCTTATGAGGATGCCGTGCTGCAACAGGTTCTGGGAGCTATCAGTTATCTCGATCTCATTTCTTAGATTGTACATCATATTAATTACATCACGCAGAATGTATCATTGAAAAGGAAAGCAACGGTTCTTATGTCATAAAGATGTACGGAGTTATCTCGTGTCATAAGGATGTACGTTTGACACATGCGACTGTACTCCAAGGTACTCGTGACTTCTGCGAGCACGTCAGAACTCCATCCGTCTTTTTAACCGTGAAATTAACAGCGAAAATCCGACCTTACATTCTGCATCACTAAAGACATACCATGGGGTGAAACATGCATTAAAAACAACAGAAATATACGTATCAAGAGGCAAACAAAAAAACGCAGCCTCAAAACGGCCATTCATGTTCTGCTTATGTAAAGTGAGAACGAGAACACCCACAATATGAACGCAAACACTCTGGTGTCTATCCAGTTCTGAACACTTTCTATGTTATCTACAATATCTTTACAAAGAAATGACGTGAGTTTGAAAAGGGAGTAGAGCATAAAATGACTTGACAAATAAACAATGGCATAGCAAAAAATTACCGCGCAAAATCAGTCGTTTGTGTTCGGTATAACACAAGATTACACTTCGGAAAGATAAAATAAACAAGCACATATAATTACGTACTTTCATGAATATGGAGAGTCATTTTCAAGTAATGTATTCAAACAATTCATCTAACGCAGTTCTCTTAACCAAGTTACCAAGAGACAATTTTTGTATTTCATTACGGAAGTGAATGAACCAAAAAAATAGTATGAAGTAACTATCACATACAAATCTACCAAGCAATATAATTCGCATTTTTACTAATAATTATCTCCTCGAATGCAAGAAAGCCTTCCAAACATAATTGTTTATTCTGTACTCGTAATTGCATTGTGATCGTAATTAGATTGTGTGACATATTTCTCTACTCCATCCAATACAAATGTCATCTTCCACTAACAAAACTGTAAAGTGCAAAACTAACCCCATTTCGCCCTCTAATTCATCTCTCTGTTCTTTTAGTCCCCTCCCGTTCTCTCTTCCTTTCGCGTTTCCTTTCCTTCCATTCTAACCCTCCATCGCATTGCTGGCCCCAGAATGTGACTCATATCCTTCCCGTTCCCCCCTATGTGCGTGCGTGCAAACGCGTGATATGCTGCGTGCGAGGGTGCAGGGTGCGCACGGGGGAGGGTGTATGCTGTCTGCTCCTCAGCAGCGAGGTGAAAACTTGGGCGCTGGGCGCGGAACTTATTGCACTCAGTTCCTTCCCTCGGGGAATCGACTTCTCCATACGACCCAGTTCATCCCGGTGCTCGGTTATTAGGAAATCTAGGTAACGTGCGTTCTGGCTAAACACTCAGTGGGAAATTGATAATTGACAGAATACCCACGGTGGAGTCGGATTTTTGTTAATTCCTTGAAATTCATGAAGACTAAATCCATAGACTTTGCAGTGATAAGGATAAAGGGACGGATAGCCGAGATCGTTAAGGCAGTAGTGTTATAGCGATCTCGGACTGAAGGATCGTGGGTTCGAGTTCCGCTTAGGGCTTGGTTGTATTTGCGTTCACCCCTATCATCACCACATCATGTCATCTACAAAGTTACCATAACGTTAAATCCAATAGTGGTCGCTAATGACCTAGATGTTGATGCAACCTTAATAAAAAAAAGGAAAAAGGGAAGGAAAAGAAAAATAATGTTATACATACAACAAATGATTTGCGGTAATTTCTAGAATATATAAAATACTTTTATATCCTTTTTGTTTACTGTAACATGTAATTTATACACAACAATGAACAAATCAGGAAATGGTTAACACTTCTTTCTATAGTGATTTCAAAAGTAAATGACAGATGAAATGGCAGAGCGATTTGATTAAATATCTAGAAGTTTCATTTTAGTTACTAGTACTCCACTTGTTTCATCAAATCCATGCAAACATTTTCATTTTCTGACTGTTTTGGCGAAATATTTGTCGTCTGCACCGGGTGCAAACTGGAATAATTCTTTTTCCATTCTCTTGAAAGGAGGTAATTTGGTTATATCCAACAATTTTGCTTCCAACACTAAGTGTCCAATCAGTTTGTAGTTCAGTACGCGTTAAGTTAAGTTTGTAGTTCAGTACGCGTTAAAATTTCTTTGTGGATGTCAAATCGCAGAAATCTGGGGAAGCTCCTTTCTTAAATGGACAAAAATAATAGACGTACATTTTATTTCATATTATACTTTGCCTGTTATCGAAAGAAAACGGTTGTTTTTTTCTAAAAAATTATTCCGTTTACAGCAGAAATGTGTAAGTGGAGATGAGGCAAAGACCAGCTGCTAAGGAGTAGTGGTCGCCACACTGGTCAGTCGGCAACGATTAGAATATTTTCACCACTATTATACCATTGTATCAACATACAGATGATAAATTTACATATGTAGAAATAGTACATCAAATAATTATTTCGAATCTCAGAAGAGGAACAATTTTTCTCAAAGAGAACATATTTATCTGATCCCCTAAGGCAGAAAAGGGATAAAGACGCAGAAGTTTACTTACCAGTTTTTCGCCGGACAGCACCTCCAGCAAAGCCAGCAAATTCGTACCATCCTTCAGATCTTCAATGAGGTCATCTATTTTCAGAGGTGGGATTCTCTGAAACATCAGAAACGTTACAATTAATTGTGGGATTGGAAATGCTAAATGTACAATCACTTACAGGAATGAAATGCACCTAAAGCAGAGGAGCGTGCTTATGTACAATTCTTATAAAAGACTGTTAGACTGTTGGACCCGGAAATGCTTCGCTATTCCAATACATTACACTTCAAATGCTACTGATCACTTGATTGTTAATCACGTTTTATGCAAAAATTGCAATAGTCTTAAGACTTTCTCTCTCTCTCTCTCTCTCTCTCTCTCTCTCTCTCTCTCTCTCTCTCTCTTCGTGTCTTTTCCTCTCTCTTTCGCTGACTGTTTCTCTCTCTGGTCTCTGACTATCTCTGAATCTGTCTCTCCCCGGAGAAACTTCACAATCACAGGGGCAGAGTGTCTTAGTAATCGTCCTTCAGTGTGCAGCGGGTTGCGTAGAGAGCGCCGAGGCGTAAAGCGCACTCATCAGGGCCCTTGAGGCTACATAAAATCATAATCAACGCGCGTCTATGTGCGCAGGAATATGCACATTCCCATTGTACTATTCCTCTATTTTTCCCGGGAGTGCAAGCAATAAGTTGACAAAGTATTATTGCAATCGGATGAACGGCTTGGCAAAGCATTAATCACGAACCAAAAACAACAAACATTGTCTTTTATATATTAGATTAACTGGTTTTGGCAGTGCAGAGGAAATTAAAATTACTATTGCGCTTGTAGATATAAAAGAACAGTTTTTTCAATACCAATATTACTGTCTTCCAGTAGAATCTAAAGTATTAAAACAAATAAAAAGACACAGATCCCTTCACTTTGTTTACAGATCATTGAAATAAGTATACACTATCAAAATGAATATAATTGCTCAAGAACCAGGTAATTTATTTGTGTTAAGGTTTAATGTATGCACTTCTGGGTTCATCCTTCTCTAAAACCCATCTAAAATAAAGATGAATGTAGGATATTGAATCATTGAGACTAACAATGAAAGAGCAATGATCGAAGTCGTGGAATGTAATCAAGAAAATAAAGAACCTGGAAGATGGAAATATTGGATCTGAAAAACACAAATTATCTGATCATTAGGAAAAAAACTATCGTATCTGCCCCATTACGGCCAATTCGCAAAACAAAAACAACATAAATAAACTAATAATAGGAATAAAATGTATTATTATTATTATTATTATTATTTTATTTTTATTTAATAGGTAATTATTACAGACAAAATTAGTTAACTTGATCCTATGTGGGGCTAGGCGAAGGCTTTAGCATTTAACATACCTACAATCTTCCGGTTCTTTTCGAATTCTGGTTCACGCCACAATGGTTTCATGCATCAAGGCGGAAAAGAGACCATAAGGTAGGGCGGCTAGGAAAGAAACCTGAAGAGGGGAAAACTGCGTCAGAAGCGAGTACATTTAGATCTATCGAGTTTTTTTGTATTTTATTCTTCTGGCGTGGGCGTCCCGCCGTTCTTAGTGCTTTGGCTCTCAGACCTGAAATCAAACAGCGCAAGAAGATTGATCGGCAACAACGTCTGCTTATATTTTTTTTTTTCGATATTACCTCTAATGTGCTTATTACTATTACAAGTTTAATTTTATTTATTATTTAATTTACTTACAATTTAAGTATGATTTTGACTTATTTCTTACTGTTTTATTACTTACATAAATTACTGATTAGAATTACATATTGTTTTGTTATTGATTATTTATTTCTCCTCAGTTTAGGTTCCGGCTCAAGCTAACCGGTGCTGTTTTTCCCCAGTCCTAATTCGAGTTTTCTAATGGTCGAACTTTCTAAAATGTTCCTAATTTTTCATGAATTTGACATTTTATACTAAAATGTTTGGGCGGAGCGTTACGTTCTGTTTGAAATGTAATTTCTCCATTCCATCTTTTTTTTCATGTTTCGGTTGCACAGCAATTAAGAAGTATGTGGATCAGTCTTCTCTATAGCAAGCAACGATGGCATTAAATTGGGTCCTTTGTCTACGTTGATCCATCCCCAGAACCTGAACAGGTTCCCTCTTGGTTCTTTCGAGAGTATGCACGTACCTTCGAACCCCTAAGGACTCGCATGATTTGGTACTGCGAACTTTTTCAGCCGTTGTGCCAGATTTTGCCTTTTTAATATCGCAAGTTATTGAATAGGTTTATTAGGGTTCCCTATACCACGATATCGGAGAGAGTCTTCACCCTGCGCGGTCAAGTGCGGTTTAACTTTGTTAGCCCAGTGGGGTGTTCCTGCCATTGCAATCTAAGCCTATGTTGAGTGTGGTCAGCCTGGTTTATTGCTCATTTTAATCAAAGTTAGATAGATTCAATTTTAATTTCAATTCTTACTTCGTTCTTAGCCTCGGATTTTGCTGCGGCATCTAGAAATCTAGATAATTTTTGAATAATTGTTTCGTAACCTTTCTAGTCGGGGATCTATCTATCATCCAGATTTCTGGGCACTAGTTATAGCTGGGGAATAAGATTTGGAAATTGGTATGATACCTTTTACAGGGCATATCCGGACCTGCGACTGGCAAACGATTTTTTGGAGCGCAATTCCTTCTCTTTGCTGTGAGGCGTAGTATGTGATTATTGATCCATTTCATGGAAATTTTGCAACACAGAATATGTGATGTTTTGACGCGGTCATTTTCTTCCCTGGTAGTACATTCTCTTTGCTACCAGTGAACCTTTTTGAAGACTAATTTCGTTTTTTGGAATGTTTACTTTTAGGTCCCCATGTCTACTATCCCGTTTAGAATATTTAAACTTTCTGGTAGCCTCATGTTCCGAAATAGATAATCATCAGCATATAGTAAAGTCGGGAATTTTAAGCCATCAATTACGGGGCCGCTGTATCGATTCTGTACAGTATAAATGTTTAATAAACCAGATAACAGCAGCGGGTGAAAAGAGGACACCTGTCTTATCCTATTGTCGATTTATTTTTTTGCGTTATACTTCGTACGCACCTCACGAGAAATTTAACTTCCTTATACCTACTCTGCCAATACGTTAAACTTACGTGAGACGCCTAGCTCATTTCGTTTTTTTCGGCCCCCTAAAAGGGCATTCCATTAATAGAGTCAAAAGTTATTGAATTTCTACAAAACTGCAATATAAGTGGCCGGTTTACGCGCCAGCGCCTGTTTTTTACTAGGGTATCTACCACAATATATTGTCGGTTTGTCGGTAGCTCTTAAAGTGCTGATTTCTGTATTTTAACCGGTATTTTTCCGCTTATAGTCGCGTTGAGTATTTTTAGGGAGACAGTTTGCTCAGGGCTGGCAAAAGTTAAATTCCGCGATAATTTTGTGGGAATCATCGCATCCCTTTTTTTTAAAATGGTTGGAGGATAGCTGTACTCCACGTTTTGGATAGAGACGGTCAAGCAATTGCTAGTAATTATAACTTTTGGGTTATGTGCACAATTCCGAATGTTTTGTTTGGAATCCGTCCGGCACTTGCTTCTTATTATTCATTGTTAGAATAGCCCTATTTATTAGTCAGGTTAGGGTTCGTGCTAATTCAGGCCATGGGTCAGTGAAAATTTGCGTTCAATGGTCTATGTGAAGTCGAGAAAAATATTGACCACGCGTTGCTGAATTTTCATTGCTTGAATTTATTTTATTGCGCAAGATCTGATAAAGTCAATTGATTTACTATATGTTTCTTAGAATTGTCTGTATTTTGCTGCTATATCCTGCCAAGAATTTCTTCGATTTCTTAATTGTCGCCTCGTACTGCCTACGTAATAACAAATAACTGTTTCTAGCTTGTTCCGTTCCCCTGTTTCTGAAATTCCTTAAGGCTATTATAGTTTCGCGCCAATTATTATTATTATATCGTAAACTATTATGAATGTGTTCGTTGATTTGAAATTAGAAGTATGTAATACACTTGTCGGAAATTATAGCACGAAGTAATCATTATTTTTAAGAATAAGATTTTTTAGCTTCGATAGATCCGTTTGAATCAATTAAACATAGTTAATTAAAACTAATTTATTATTGTCATTATCAAACAAAAAAGATTCAATATTACAATTTTGTGTTTATCAGAACGCTAAATTTGCGATTACATCGTAGCAAAGCAGATTACATTATCAGCCCTACAAGCAATTATAATATTGGTATCCAAATGAAATACGCATGTTGAATTCGTTTTAGAGTCATATTTTAAGCTGTAATACATCGACAACAAACATTTCCTAAATAAAAGGTAATAAAATTTGAAGTAAATGTTCGTCATTCTCGCAATTACTCTTTCAGTTTACGCGCTACGGTTTGAATTGCGCATTTTCGTTGGCGACCCCACTTCTAGAGAGACTTATCCCCACCCATCCAAGCGGCCTGGATTTGCACTCAGTAGCTCGCGCGCGGCTCCCCAGGTCAGGCAATGTGCAAAATGCTGTGCAGGTCTGATCTACACGACTGTTATTTTTGTATTTGCAAAGTAAAAGGATTCATTACAACGAACAAATAGGGAATAATTTATCCTGATTTGGAATGAGCTAGAAGACCTGTACCACAATGGCACTGACGTTCCTACAACGGAACCACTTTCGAACTTCGTGATATGACATTTTGATTCAATTTCAACGCCAGACTAGTCAGCTGAATAATCTGATTGCTTAAGCACGAAAGACAAACCCATAGCTTTAACACAAAATGAACTGAATGATTTGATCAGAGATTTAAGAGGCGAGTGTACCATGTATACCGACTATATTAAATTTGTTCATGTTGATGTGCCATGTCTCGAAAATGGTTAACTAGAAATTTTTGTTATTTTGCGCATTTGAAGCTACAGAATTCGTTATTTTTTTGACATTTATTTGAATATACTATTAAGAATCTACCCTGTAAGTTGTAATAAATTGTGCGTAATAGTTTCTTAAAAAAGGAACATAAATTACTTAATAAGTTCTTCTTCGGCAATTGCCATTTGAAAAAAGTATGTACCTGGCACTGTTATAGTAAAACATTCCTGCTTCAT